TACACACACACACACACACACACACACACACACACACACACACACACACACACACACACACACAGGCACATGGAGTAACACGAGGAGATAGAGAAAAAGAAAACAGCAAGAGTTGGAAAGAATGGAAATGGACTGAGAGAGGATGCTGAAGATGCATTGATTTCTCTGATTCGAATTGAATTAAAAACTTCGGAAGAACAGGACAGTCTTCTCATTCCGATATCTATTGAATACTTATTATAAAGTAATCTACTTCTTATACTATTCTGATACAAAGGAAACGCTCATTGTTCTGACAATTGTTTATTTATCTTAAGGTACCACTTGTGTTAATGATCTCAGTTGTCTTGTTTTAGTTTTAAAAAGAACAGGTTTACTTTTCCAATGAAAATTTGTTTCAATCAACGCAACAGAAAAAGTGCGAAACGAGAAAACCAGTAGCTCTACGTACTATTTGTTTTCCCGGAAATAGTCACCCAAGATGGCTGCACTCTTGTAAGAAACCGGCAACTTGCACAGTATTGTACAAGACACGATCAAATTACAGGACTCCTAGAGAATAGATCTTTGAATGAGTTCCGTATAACGCAGTAAGTGTTATAAAGAGAGCTTCCAAAGAGATCAGAGCACCAGATAAGCCTTAGTGTCGTTAGAGTAACAACCTGCACATCTGTCAGTGCCAACCAACATTGAGTAACAACAGTGTCAACAACAGGTTGCTTTTACCGTCTCTGGCCTGCTCAGTAGCCTCTACTCAGTTCAGTTAGTTCTCTAGTCTCTAAGTATCTGCCTCTGTCTAGTGCCTGTTAAATTAGTTAGTGTTTTCAGTAGCTACCTTATGACTTCTGAATACTCCCTATTTGTAGACACATGGCAGTCACAATGGCTTCTGAACTTTCTTTCCCTGTGTGGGCGGGCGGGTGGAGTCTGGGTTGGCCCTGTGAACTTTGTCTTCTAGGCCTCGAGGTTTACATCTAAAAATGAGACTTCTTATGATTTTTATTCTAGTTTTCTTATCTTAGTTCTGATTCTGATCTCTGAGGACAATGATAGAAAGGCCGCTCTTGGTTCTATAACTATAATGATTTTCATATAATATATAATAAGTGTGGTCCTCTATGATGTAAACTAGATCTAGATATATCTAGATCTATATCTAGATCTAGATCTAAATTAATCTAGAAATCTAGATCTAGACTATATATCTCTAGAATCTAGTCTTTTAATCTAGATATCTATGTTGTATTGTTGTAAACAGTTTTGCCTTTTTTATTTTGATTTTCCATTTATATCTTATTTTTGTTCTCATATGAATCAATGTCGGGCTTGCACAGCCATAGTTTCTGTGTCCTGTGGAGTGGCTTAAATTTCCTGCATCCTGTTTTTTTTGTTCTTCTGGAATAATCAAGGCGTGTTGTATTAGGAATTGAGTGGCTCTTCGGACTCGAGGACGATTAGACAAAAATTATATATATTCGGACTCACTCTGTCAAATTGAGTCCAGCATGACGTCCGTTCCGACCCTTGTTCTTATATATTTCCAGCATTTATGAATTTTTTTTTCGATTATAATGATAACAATCGAGACGTAAACTTTAATAGATTTATATCCAATTATTATGATCTATCTAAACTGGCCCTCCAGTTGAGTTGACCTTGCCGGTGGCAAAGTAAATTTTATGTCGACCAGTGAGATTGCTGCGCGTAGTGATTTTGCACTCTCTGCTTCCTGGGGGGGGAGTGGTGTTGGGAAGAGGCCATGGGTGTCAATTTTGTACGATGTGATAAAAAATAAAATTAATTACAGAAAAACTATAACGTACAACAAACTGAAATTAAACACGGGGAAAGACAAATTCTTGTTCTTGTGGAAGTAATGATGTGTAGGCTAGTCGTGGTGGAAAGACCCTGAGTTGTCGGTTACCTTGCACTTCGTCTTAGACACTGCCATTTTGCAATAAGAGTCAGTCTTTTGACTTTTGACACAATTACACAGTCTTAGTAGGTAATTCTAGTTCTAATTCTGATTTAACATAAAATTTCACAACAACAGTATATTAAATTAATAACGCCCTTACACTTTAGAACATTATAACTCACTTAGAAGAAGCCGAGTCCGAATAAATAAAACATTTTTTTCGGACACAAGCTCGAATAGATAAACCTATTTCGGACTCAAGTCCGAATATAGTATGAAAAATATAATTTTTTATATTATATATAGCTCAATAGAGCTGGCCATTAGGAATTTAGGCCTAGATATTCTTTTGTGACGGTACAAATGGTCGTTGAACTTTTCAATTTCGTCGCACGTTCTTCTCTTCTCACCCCAATTCTATGTAACTTGAAGATTTCGCTTATCTCCCCAAAATTGTTATGCCAGTAGCGTACAGTTTTGGAGGATCAGCGCCAGCAGTCTTTATATTCTAATTCACCTACCAATGCAAGCATGTAATCGTTGGGCCGTGCCCTCTTGTTTTTTTCATTAAGTAAGTTAAGCCTATAATTCCCTGTCTCGCCCCCCCACCCTCCCACCACCACCACCACCCCTTTCTCCAATAAAAACAACCTGACAGCTGATCAGGCAGGCAAGACGATTCCCCCCCCTCCACCCCCCATCCGCTTGAATCAAAGTGAGTATTTGGACTCGAGTCCTATTAGACAAAAATTATTTTCGGACTCTGGATTGAGTCCAGCATGACGTCCGTTCCGACTTCCGACAATTGTTCCTAAATATTTCCAGATTTATGAAATTTTTTTCCGATTCTAATGATAACAATCGAGACGTGAGCTTTGATTTCCAGTTATATTAGAAATCTATCTAAACTGGGCCTTCCTGCATCTTTAGCCTAGTATGAAACAGAACAACCGAGTTGAGTTGACCTTGCTGGAGGAAGAGGCCATGGCTGTTGATTTTGTGCTCTATGTGATTTAAAAAAAAATTTAATTACAGAAAAACTGAAATTAAACGTGAAAAGACAAATGGTGGTGGAAGTCATGATGCTCTAGGCTAGTGGTGGTGGAAAGACCGTGTCAGTTACCGTGTACCTAGACACTGCCTTTGGGCAATGAGGAGAGTGCAGTCTTTTGACTTTTGACACAATTACACAGTCCTAGTAGGTAATTCTAGTTCTAATTCTGGTTTTACGTAAAATCCCGCCGACGACAGTTATATTATGTAACCTCCTTACACTCACTTAACTCACATAGAAGTCGAGTCCTGTTAAATATTAATAAAACTTTTTTTTTGGACATGAGTCCGAATAGATGAAACCCATATTCGGGCTTGTGTCCGAAAAGATAAAAAATCCAGTCGGACCTGAGTCCGAATAGAGCTGGCCTGTATTCGGGATATATATATCCTGATTTATTTCCTGTAGTCTCGAGCATCCCGATTTTCCTGATTTTTGTCTCGTGTATCCCGTTTTTTTTTGGTTCCAGTCTTTTGAGCTGGATTTTTCCCAAGGCCTACTCTGCCTTTTTCTCTGTCGCAGGAAGCACCCTTGAACTTTTTGTCAGTAGGAATTCGGATCTTTGTTTTCCGAAATATATCGATTGCCGGATTTAGTAGTTGACTTGCTCCAAGTTGTGTTTTTACCCACTCTAAGAACTCTCTGATGATAGCCTAATAACTGCGACATACAAATAATTGATTTATAACATTTAAAATTCTGCTGTTACTTTCAAAACAAACCTCGTCCGAGGTCTAGTAATAGTAATCGTGCGCTCACACCAAACACTCAGTGGTTAACCCGTACACAACTAAGTGCACTGAGTAGACTAACACTCGGCCATTGTTGTTGCTTTAGTCTGAATGCAAATGAGGGATGATTAAGAGACAATTTGTTGGTACATTTGGTCGGTCGGCTGTTTTGGTTAGCCCAGAACAACTGTCGCTCATCTGAGTGTTTGGTGTGAGCGCTCAGTTTGTCAGGCCCATCAGTAAAACTGTTTCAATCTTTGATGTGTGAGTTCTTCGTGTGTCGGCGACCATCCGTTGACGGGGTCATCCGTTGACGGGGTCATCCGTTGACGGGGTCAACTTAAGTTCATGCGCACTGGTTAAAGTATGTTTCGGGATTTATTGGTGATTTGAGGGAGAGCGAATGGTTAGACACTTGAGCTCTTTACGGGATGCTTTAAGATTTAAAAAAAAAAAAAAAAAAAAATTAAAACACACAATATATATGTGAGGCTGCGTGATCAAGTTAGGCGCTCGTCAAAATGATGAAACTGAAGAAACTCTTGTGGCCAAAGGTGGACCTCCAAGGGATCTTTAACGTGTGCAACTTTCACACGGGATCTGAGATTTTTCCACCCTTATCTGAGAGGGCTAGGAGATAAATCTTACCTACAATAAGATCAGGGGTGTGGCTGAATGACTACAGAAAGAAGGAGCCGAAGAGTAGCAGTAGAAAGGCTGCAGAAAGAGCCAGGATCCCAGAGGAGGGATGCAAAGGGGGTGAGGGCAGAAAGTAAAGACAAAAGCAGACGACCAAACATTGCTAGAGAGCTGGAAAGGATGTGAAAGGAGACAATTTTAGAGAAGAAAATTTTTCAGTCGCTGTCCGGATTCCGACCCGAGTCCTTTGAATGAGAGGCGAACACTTAATCTCTATACCACGAGAGCCCCCCATTGATTTCTACATATTAGAGTCAATCTTTATGGCATATTAGCAGGGACAGAGGACTGATTTCTTATAACAGTTTTATTTATCGTTTTTCACTATTTTGGCATTGGCTTCAAGGAAACTCAGCTTTTCATTGAGGAAATGCTGCCAGATGAAAGAGCAGCCTTTGTTCCATGGTTTGATCCATATTTATTTACGTTCCTTGCTGACTTTAAAGGCTTCACAGAGATTGCTTGGAAATTTCTTTTTTTTCTCTTGAATCACTCACAGGATAGCAGTTTAGGTCATAAGTGTATTTCTATTTGAAAAAGCCTGTTTTATGATTCATTACCTTGAAACAGTCACATGATTTATTTTCAGCTTTTTGCTCTGGTCCAATCTGGCTACATTTTATGCCGTGATACAACATATAAACTGTTACCTGTACACTTCATCTTTTGTAGGAAATAAACTCTTTTATGAAAGACAGAGTTCATGCAACCTGCTTCGCTAGCTTTCTGTAAAGAATATGTGTCTGGCCAAGTTGTTGCTTTGATGTTATGATTTGGGAGCGCTTTCATTCACATATTAACCTAACAACTGCTTGTTTTTGTCTGTTTCATCTGATTATATAAGTCACATGTTTCTTTCAGACAAAATTATTGTTCAGCTGTCCACATTTGGCTTTTAGGAATTAGTTTAGGTTGCAGGCAATCCTGGTTGAACCTTAACTCATTGTGGACGCACTTTCTGGTTGTTTGACAATGCTTGAAGATGCTCTGTTTTGGGGCATAACTTCATAATTTAAAAACATTTTTCGATTTTGTCTTCTTTATAAATCTGAGACTTTAAAAGGCATGCAAGAACATGTCTAGATTCTAGTATGAAATATACAAACTCGTGATTATGATTCGTGTATGGTGGTTCGAAATATTGTCTTTGTTCTGCTGCTGGTTGGACGGGTATTACAAATGTATAGG